AAGGAACATAAGATTATGAATATAACCACGGTTCCTTGAAGGAATGGAACGAAGTACAACACCTTGTTGGCCCCGCATCACAATAGGCTCGGTGAAGGGCGGTATCTGAGTAATGACGCTGGTGACTCCGAACTTATAGGGTGAAGGCGGAGCCTGTCACCCGACGTTCAACGTCACCACGTCACTGGTCTAAAGACGTGATTAGAGGTGGCTTCAGCCAGGCGTGCGAGGGCGCACGTGTCCCATATACAACTGTGTGTTGTACTTCGTTCCATTCCTTCAAGGAACCGTGGTTATATTCATAACTGTACATTTTCCATACTGGGAATTCACACCAAGCATGGACTGCAAGTTTATGAAACCAATGAAAGACACTAAAGATGTCGATGAAGACATAAAATGTAAAAGGCACACGGCTTGGATAGAGGAGGTGGGTAATGATGGGAAGCCCTTTTAGAGCTGGTGCCAGATAGGCCTGTCATGATAGTCAATAATTCAAGCACATGATAAATTATTTTGAGGTCGATAAAAAAAATGAGGACGATAATTTTCATTTGCCTGTTTGTTCATTTACTTCATCTCTCTCCCTCTCTGTGCTCCGGTGCACAGGAGGCATAACTGAKCTTCCTGTTTTTTTAGTGTCGGGAGGAGTGAACTCTCGCGTGGTTTCGTACTCCTTTAGCATGAGAGCTAAACTAAAGAAACAATGATGGGATTCTGAAAAATGGAGATGGAATTGCTTTTAAAGCAGAACACGGCAGCTGCAGTGTCGGAGTACTTGCAGCACCTGAAATTTGCTGCGGGGATTGTGCATATTATGATCAATTCCCGCAAGTCTAATTTTTATAATGTGAGAAATTCCCACATAGAATAAATTCCAGCGATGTGTAATTTTGTGGGCGTTTGCATTGGACTATTTCTAGATGACAACTWGTACAGAATAAATCTGAACACCTTCTGTTCAGAAGACATGGAGAAAGAGAGAAGGAGAAGGGGTGAGGGCTGAAAATCTCCCGCCTGTGTACCTCCGAGTGAAGCAGCGACAAACTTGTCAAGATCTTTGAGACTTTACCTGGAGATCCCAAAAACAACAGGAAACTTAAACTCACCATCTGTGTTTTAATAGCCTGGCCCTTGCCTTCTTACACAGCTCCGCTCAATTCTAGTTTCCTTTCACTGCTCCGTCTGGGACTTCTCCCATTCACAAGGATTTCGCTGGCAGATTTTTAGCCAATCAGAGAACGTCAATTTTCTGCGCAGTGTCTGCTTGTAGTTTATTTTACCTGGACCAAGTTTATTTTACCTGCGCAGTGTCTGCTAGTTAGGTTAGTATACAGCAGTGGAGGAAGTGAATGAAGCCAGTCCGTGTTGATAAGGCTTCCAAATTAAAATAAATTTGTCTGACAAAGCAGCAGCTCTCATTTACAGTCATCACGTTTGGCTCGGTATATTTCTCCTCTCAGAAGGGTTGTTTACAGCACACGTGATTTCCGGTTAGCTTCTTAGCTTAGCCTCTTTCACAGCGACAACACACACATTCTTCAGCAGAGGCCACACCTCCTGCAAAAATCACTTCTCTATGCAGCAAGTCCAGACCCTAGTACGAAGCAAAGTGAAGGACGGTCTGTTTTTAACCAGGCTAGTGTTTTAACAAAACACCCAAAAAACTGTAGCTGTCCCAGCAACTCATGAGGAAAACTCTGAACTGATTTCCCCCCCTGCAGCGCTCTGCTTGTCTCCTCACTGCCCCCGCCCACACACACACACTCACACACACACCCAAAAAACTGTAGCTCTTCCAGCAACTCATGAGGAAAACTCTGAACTCATTTCCTCCCCTGCAGCGCTCTGCTTGTCTCCTCACTGCCCCCGCCCACACACACACACACACACACACACACACACGTTTGTACTTCTATCCTCATGGGGACTTTTCATTGACTTTCATTCGTTTACCGGTATTTTCTATTACCTATTTGCCCCTAAACTTTACTTAGGATGTGAACTGGTTTTATGTCCCCATAAGAAACAGTGGGTCCTCACCAGGCTGTGTAGTTTGCTTCATCTCTAAAGAGATGCTGCTCTTTAATATTGTTTATTTACTTTCTCAGTTGTGTGTGGTGTTTAATTTCCATTTTGTTGTTTGTTATTTTATTCAAGTGCATTTTTTGTTAGAGTCCATTTTGTTAAACACTCTTTAAAAATTAAAGTTTATTGATCTTTGAGAGGATGTACTTACATTATTACGCTTTTATCATTATATTAGTTTTAAAATGGTCACCAGACAATATTATCGTTTATCGTAATAATTTCTGAGACAATTAATCGCCCAGCAAAATTTGTTTTCGTGACAGGCCTAGTGCCAGAAGCTCCAGCAACCTGGTGTATGTTTTTGCAAGTTGCACGGAGCATGAATCAGGCTCTGGTCATAAATCATCTGTCCAAGCCATTGAACAACCTCATGTTTGTGAGGGACAACTGCGGCAGATATCCCACCCTCACTGACCAATCATGTGTCCAACTTCATTGCTGAGTTAGATCTGTAATCAACCATCACTCCTCCACTGGTCAGTTTATGCAAGAAGTTAGCAAAGGATAAAATCACCCTCATGCACCTGTCTGTTTCAAGGCATCATGCTTAGGCCTKTCATGATAACAAAATATGCTGGAKGATAAATTGTCTCAGGAATTATTGCTSATTGCATTTGGCCACTACTGTATCATTCATTGGCTTCCCCCTGCAGCTCGGGGTGCTATACAAATGCCTACCTGCCTGCCATAACATGACGGCTCTGATTCCAGGCTGAACTCAGAATATGGGATAAAAATACAGGACAGTTGGCAACCCTATTCATGTCATGTGCTGGTGAAGATTCTCAGTCATCAAGTTCATGATCAATCATAAAAAAGTTAAAAAAAAAAAACAAAGCAAGTGGACTTCTGAAGCTGAAGATGTTTGGCC